TGATTTGCTTTGCCGAAGATGAATCTAACATTCAAAAGCTAAACTTACAGGTTTTTACAGACTCTACTCACGGCTCGCTGCAGCCTCTTACGTCTCCAACTATTTGGATTTAATTTTTTCACCTTTGTTGTTGGTTTATCCTGAACTTCAAATGTACAGGAACTCCAGTAATTTTATCAGCAGCATTGTTTGATTTGTAAATTGACCATGAACCACACCAAACTAATATAATGTAGCATGCAAGTGGCTGATTTTCCAAAAAAATATGAAGCAATGAACAATCATAATAAATTAGATTGGTCTTGGAAAACGATTGGACTTTTGTTAAAATGACATTGATGAAGGAACGTTTGAGACATTTATTTATTGGTCTTGGAAAACATTTGTTAAAATGACCCGAAGTCTCGCACGGACCATCCATTAAGGTCAAGACAGCGCCCAAATACCAACCAACTCAAAAAACAACACCAAAGGTTGCCACCAGCAAAACTACAAGGACGCGAGCCTTAGCCACATCATTGCCCATAATCCAGCGCACCACCAAAACGACGAACAATACAGAGAAACAATCCCGCAAAGAGAACATGGAAAAAATATAGTACACAGATACATTATCTTCTTCTCCGGCCCCTCCCACGAAACCTCCCCCGAGAGGCAACTTAAACAACATGTCTATCACGAACCAGAGTAAAATCTTTACCAGGGTCAGAACCACCGCAAAATTTCGGAGAGGCCAAACCACAATATGAAAAATCAGATTCACATTCCGACGAGCCATGCAGCCAATCCACATGGTTCCTAATATCAAATCCAGAATTAACACCCGAACGATTGACCATAGTATGTGTTTCGACCAATTTTATCGGGACATCAACAAAAATATTAGAACACACCGAATTTCCATTCAAAGTATCAACCCGCACACACTCTGCATTTAAGTCCACAGTCACAGTAGGATTACATGAAGCCTCGACACCCAAAAATGGAAAAACAACTCCAGTTAACTTCATTAAGACTCATGTGCGAATCCACAACACCCAAACCAGGCGACTGGACTGCTGAATCATCAATCACAGCCACGACAGGGCAACTATCCACAACATTACTAATATTAACACTAACAAGATTAATTAAAGGGCTCGAAACAACCCCAACCTCAGTACCATATAGAACAACATCCCCCAACTCCTTAAAATTCGGGGACCATAGAAACAGGAGAACAAATCGGAGGTAAACTATCACAAACAGGTGAAACCACAGGAACAGACGGAGCAACAACAGTACCGACTACAGTTACACCATCAACAACAGGCAAAAGCACAGGAACAACCTGAGCACCCGAAATACCTCCCCCCCTCAAAGATGAAGAGGGGACAAGATTAGGATGAAGAATAGTACAACCCGCTTTAGAGTGCCCCAAAGAAGAGCAGTGCACACAATACTCCGGAAAATCTCAGGAAATTGTTTGGACACATCAATTTCAACCAACACTCTAGCAACAGATGGGCGGGAATCAGTAGAAGTAGCATTATCAGTTTTTAAAGGTTTGCCAAAAATCATTCCCAGGCCATGAAGAATATGCGAAGCATGCAGATGAGGCCTAAGGTTTGGAAAAGAAATCCAGATGGGAATAATAGGGGATTCGATTTCCACATCTAAAGTAGGAGACCACTTAATCAGTTTCATATAACAGTTGTTAACGAAGTAAGATCTATGAGCTAAAGTCCTACAATAATCTAAATCATTGAAGAGCTTAATCAAGACATTTCGCTGATTAAGAACAGTGATAGAAACATCCCCATTAAGCTTAAGATTAAAGAAAAAATTCATAATGACATCCAAAGAGGGCCGTCGGGCAGGAAATTTCCCTATGAGAGCAAATTCAAACGGGGCAGCCAGGGATTTGATTTCCATCTCCGAAATCTATAATGAAGGCATGCCTCTAAAAGAAGAAACTTTAAGCTCAGGAAAACTAACAGATACGGAAGATGAACCAGAGAGCACCTCATTAAATGAAAGAGGCGAAGAGCCATGTAAAAAATCAGGATTGCGAATACGAGAAGAAGCCATAAAATCAAAAACACAGAAACAAAAGGAAGAAGAGACTTCCCTAGCGCACGAAGGACAAACGAAGCATGCCGGGCGGAGGCGGCCGCCAAGAGGAAATTAGGGCGTTTTAATTGTACTTATTTCTATATTCAAATATAATTAATTAATAAATTAATTTGTAATATATTCTTAATTTATACCAATCCGAGTAATTAATAACATAATTCATTAATTAATTTTCATTCATTAAGAAATTTTAAATTTTCATAATTTCAAAAATTCATAATTAATAAATCTTAATTAATTATTTCATTAAAGAATTTTTACATCTCTATACTACTATTATAAAAGCCACTTGAATTTCCTTCCAAACAAAATCATAACCATTAATTTTAATTTTTCAAATGGAATCCAAAACTTTAAAAATTAAATCTGTCTTTTAATATAAATTTTAATTATGATTAATGAACGATTTTTGATAATAGATTTTTTTTTGCTAAAAATTTGGGTGAGAGAATATGAAATAGTTGAAAAACTCAATATTATAAAGTAATATTGAATACTATAATATTTTAAAAAATATCATTAAATTATTTATTTTTATTTATTAATAATTATTTTTAAAACTATTTATTTAACAGAGTTTACTTGTAAAACTATTTAATTTAACAATACTTTAAAACTATTAATTTAACAATGCTAAAACAATTTATTTAACAACGTTATATGAAAATAATTTATTTTTAAAACTATTTATTTAATAATATTTATTTTTAAAACTATTTAATT